TAGTCCATGTAYTGGTATGATATCTCTGTTAGGTGGAGAATTTTTTTGGGAAGCTACCCTGCTGTTTTGACTGGAGCACAATAAGGAACAGTCTCCATTCCAGGTGGAAGAAGATGTGATGGCTCATCTACCAGTGGTAAACTGAACGAGCAAAAGACTGAGGGGTGACTGGAGGTCTTCAGCCCAAATACACCCTCACTGCAGGGTTAACCCCAAAACTGTGTCAGGGAGCTCCGGGCCTTTCAGGCAAAACTTGTACATCTTTGAGGGTGTTTATCTCTGCGTATATGARGAAGAATAAGGGAGTGTCCCATTTTCTGGGTATGAAAACCCAGATCTGCGCCTTGTTTCTGTCAGCTTCATTCATTCCCTTGCTCTTGTTATTTTTCTCAAGGGAGAAAGATAACCAGCTTGACTACTTGTGCAGTCAGGTCCACAGGTCTCTGAGATAAGGATGGCTGCATTTTGATCCAGAGGAGTCACCTGTGCTCCTTCATCAGCATTTTAAATATTTTATTTTAAAATAAAATCTGAGTTTCTGAATGAAAAAGGTCCCTATACAAAAATAATTTGACAGCTTAAACCACTAAATGGTGGGAGTGTATTTTCTGCAGAAAAACAGTATGAAGTCAGTTGTTTGAAATATTCTAAGATAATTGCAGGAGGACTAGAGCCAGAAAACCTTCCAAGATAAAAATGAAACATTAGAATATTTAACTGTGGTCATGCAGGTGAGAATAAAAGAGGGAGAAAGCACAAATTCTCTACAGGGAATAAAACACTGAAACAGAGCATATCTTATGCTCTACTGACCTGTCATAGATTATTCTTAAAGTTGTAGAGGTAGTGGATAAAAGGAGTGAATCAGAGACCACAGAACAAGAGCAAGTTCCTTCTTTAGACTAAAGAGGGGCTTGTTGCAAATGCTTTTGAGGCCTTTGGAAGATCTAGACATCTATCTTACTATGACACCTTACTGAAAGCCAGTTCAGGATGCATGTATTCAAGTTATCAGTATCAAAGGAGGCTTTGGCAATTTGGGAAGTAATACCAAGTGARAAACTCCAGAGATTGTTTCTAGGTTCTGTTTCACTCATCATCTGTAAGAACATTTAACAGCACAATGGTGAAACTCTTTCTAAAATATGAGGAGCGGCAAACACAGTAAACAATTTGTAAGAATCATATGAGACAGCTCTGTCTGAACTGCAGTTCAAAAGAAGCACGTCCCGACTCAGCCTTGGGAGTGCCCTTTGACTTTCCCAACAGCACATYAAAACAAGACCTGGTGCAGAGCCTTCCTCCTCACTTCCCTCGCCACAAGCCCACACATCTGTAGGAGGAGAGCCCAGGTGTGTTGTGTGGTGATACTTTCCAGCTGGATACCTAATCACAGTGATACTCAAAACAAGATAATGGGAAATGGAAGGAAAAAATATGCCTGGCAATTCAGAAACACTCAGAGGGACAAGAGAGACAGGATGAGATTCAACCCAAAGACATGCTGAGASTGAGTTTAAAAGCTGCAGTTATCTTCTTAGCACCAAAATGCATGCCAGAGAGAGTTTGCTCACTGGGAAACCATGACAGTGAGAGCCTGTGGACACGTAAACCATAGAATATGATTGCAAGCAAACATAAAAAGATGTTTTTAATTAAGTTCTTCGAGTTTTGTTTATTTGTTTTTTTGTTTGGGATTTGTTTGTTTTASTTGTTTGTTGTTCATGTTTTTGTTTGTGTTTTTTACCAGACACTCAGGGAATCAGTTTTGCCCAACAATTTCCAAAGACAAAATCCAAACTTGTGATGCACAAACAGAATAACACTGTCAGTGAAATGCTGAGCAGAGTTGTATGAAACTGCACCTGTGGTAATCACTCTACTGGCCACAACCTCTGTGTATATTCCCTCTTTTTCCCTTTGGATCCGCATTTTGGTGCACAGGACACATGGGAAAGCAAATTAGCAGATTTGTGAAATTTCTTTTTACAGATATCAGCAAAGTTCTAGGCATTTGGTGTTTCCACTTCTGTGTGCTCCCACTTGTTTATAGATTTTCTTCAGATCCTGTACCTGCTGTAACATTAGATGGTATTTTGTTTCACTCTCATTGTACACATTCTGACTGTGAGCTACACTAGATAATCTCCAATCTAAAAAAAAACCACAAAGCAATACATATGATTTCTGATCACCATTATCCAGAAAACCCCGATTTCTGATCCCCATCTGCCAACATTACAAGGAAAAGATAAAGAAAGTAAATTTTTTAGGCCATCTTCTCCAGAAAGCCCTAGCAAATTTCTTCCTKCCTACTCCTCAGATCAAATGTTCTGAGTATCTGCACACCAATGAAATGGAGACAGAGCATTCAAAGAGTCTTCACTCCAGAGCTCATCACTTCTGAGATTCTGCAGATGCAAACTCTGGTAGCCCCAAGGAACCRAATTTTAGGCCTCAACAGTGATTTTTTTTTTTGCCTGAGGAAAGACATGAGCTCATGGCCTACCCTAGAGCCTTATCCTCCAACTGCAAATGGATCTTCCCCATTTCACTTGCCTATGTTGCCCCATCACACAGAAGTTAGCTGTGGTCTATCTGCCCCATTGCTACATCACAGACTGAAGAYGGCACACAAGACTGAAATGTATACMTTCCCCCACYGTAAACTCAAGGTACGGGTTGTACACAAGAATGATCCTGTAATGAGACTCATTCAAAGGCAGGGAAAACATGGGCATAAAAGTTTGAGACTTAGCACTGTGGACTGAGAAAGAGAACTTCAGACAGGATTAAACTGGAAAAGTTCAAAATATAACTAYCCTGAATGCATTAATATTTGAATTATTTGCGCCTATATTTTACTTCATGTGCTACTTAAAATTTAAAGCTTAGTATTGTAACTATTTGTTCTGAAATTTCTCTTGCCTATGTTCAGATGTCTTGGGATAGACCTTGCTTTCCCAAAGTACATGGTTTGAGAATCACAGAACTCACTGAAAGATGAGACGCAAGGGCTGCAGAGAGTCCATAGTCCCACATGCTCAGAGCAGGGCTGAYTCCAGAGGTGGATATGTTGTTCATAGCTGTGTCCTGGCAAATCTGGAATGTCTCCAAGGGTGGAGATCCCCCAGCCTCTCTAAGCAACCTGACAAGGTCCTTTCTTTAGCCTTCTGTGGGGAGGAGGAGGAAGACAGCAGAAGGAATGCAGCCATACAGCAAGAGTAAGTGTAATAATACCACCTGTATTTTACGGGGAGGGCTGTAATAGCTGTGTATGGGTGGGAGTAACATCCTTGAGGAATGGCAGAAGAGACAGAATGAAGRCAAGTTCTTTTACATTTATGTCCCTCAGGAATAAAACTAAATGTCCCATGAGGTCTTCCTGTACAGAGAAAGAATCCTTCTARTTTGCTTCCTCTCCCATTATTTTTTTTTTTCCACTGAAAAGCAGGCACCTTCTGTCAATGCTGAGGTGCTCATTTTAAATGAAAAMCAGTAATTCTGTCAGAAAAATTGTTACAGCTGCCGCTCTGGGACATGCTTGGCAGTGAAATGGGCCTTGTGTATAGATGGATTTCCTAAACATATACAGTGAGGATGGCTCAGTGGTTTTAGCCCCATTATYACAGATCACAGAATCACAGAATGKGTTGGATTGGGAGAGACCTTAAAGACCATCTATTTCCAACTGCCCTGCCATGGGGGTTGGAACGAGACCTTCCACTAGACCAGATTGCTCCAGGACCCCATCCAACCYGGCCAGGAATGGAATAGCCACAATCTCCCTGGGCAATCTGTCCCAGCGYTTCACCACCCTGCAGAGTTTCTTCCTAAAATTTCAGTTTAAAGCCATTGCCGGGGCCCGCGGGAGCGGGAAGGATGGCGAGGGCTGCCCAGGAGGTGGCAATCGGGAGCCTCTTACGGGAGTGGAGCAAAGGTGGAGGGAGGCTCCCAGGAAAGAGGTGGCTGCCTTTAAGGTGGGTTTATTTGCCTGCCAGATGGGAAGTCTGTGACCAGCCCCTTTAGAACAGGTAAAGGCAGTAAGGCTTCTCCACCCACTCGCCTTGATCTTTCATCACCACCGAGGGCCAGGCGGGCGCTTGTGCAACGTGCGCGCCGCGCTCGGGAGGCTCGGGAGAGGCCCATGCGCTGCCCTCAGCAGCCCGGGCACGCAGGCCTGAGCCGGCGGGGGCTGCCAGCCGGGCCCCCTCTCCGGCCAGCCTGGGGCTGAGCACCTGCAGCGGCGGCATGGAGCTGTCCCTCGGGCTCCTTCTCCTCTGGGCTTTCCTGCCTTCCGAGGCGCACGGGAAAGAAGGTAAGCGTGGGACCCGCCGCCGGTCCCTCTGCCTGGAGGGCTGGGCTGGGGCGCGCTGGGACAGCGACCTCGCTAAGGGGCAGGGAATGGGATCCGGCCCACGCACCTGGGGCTCCAGGGACACCTCAGAGGGACTGCGGTGGCAGGGAAGGGCAGCCGGGTGTGGGGGGTCCGAGGCTTGGCAAACCCCATCCGAATCTCGGTGGCTCAGTGAACGAGCCCAGGTATGCTCTCCCCCTTCTTCACCTCTCCCAGTTGAAGCACAAATGCCTCGGCATATCCAGAGATCCAAGAAAATTCTYCCCCTGTTTCCCTCAAATACGAGTCTTGCAGATAACAAGTTTAAACACAAACTCAGAAAGTTTCTCCCCTCCTCTGGCAACACCCCCGCAGTTTCCTCAGAAAGCCCTCTTGGGAGTTAACCCTTGTAAGCAAGCGGACGGTCATTTAATCGGTCTCTTACCTACCCTAGTCCCGGAAAACGGAGCTGGGCTTTAAAATTTCCTCTTCCATCTCTTCAGGCTTCCATGTTTCCCTTCTCTGTACCACTTACTCTCTTTTATTAGATGTAGTGATTTTTTCCCTTCCATCTTGGTAGTTGCACAGTGGTTATGAAACATGGGAGAATGGTAATTTTTAATAGAGAGGAGAGGGAAGTGTAAATCTCTGCTGTGTTCCCTACCTTCTCCTGCAGTTAATTCTTGGCCAGGGACTTCTGTTGTGTACAGCAAGAGGTGTTGGGGCTTTTCCATCCCAAGGACTGTCCTCCTTTGCTTTTCCAGGCACTCAATTGAGAGGACTTTGTCATAACTGGCAGTTCAGCCACTAGCTCATCTGCAAGTGCTGAGTGATCTTCTAAAGYGTCCTTGACAAGCACGTTTCTATTGAGGATCCAGCTGCGTGGATGCAGCTGGCAGACATTGTGGAGAGGACCAGCSTGGGTGAGAAGTAATATCAGATGGCACCAGGCAGGCTTTGGTTTCCAGAAGAGTGTGACCCACAGTTGGCAGTAGCAGTCAGGGACCTGTCTGCCAGCTTCTCCCCTATCTCAGCCATCTCATTTGGGCTGTGTCTGTGATCCACTCTTCCTTAACTTGTCTATCTGGAAAACAGCTCATTTTCCCAGCGTCCTCTCTTATCTGAAGCCTTTCTTCTTTTTGGGGACACCTCTGCCCCTGTGGCTGGACAGCCAYGTGAGATTCCTTGCAGCAAGGCTGTGGGCCAGAGAGCTGGTAGCCCCTAAGTACTTGTATTCCTCTGCGTTTGTAGTCTCACTGACCAATCTTCCTTCTTGCAGAGAATCCCTGTTGTGGGATGCACTTTGAGGGGCATTTCTTGGCAATGGGCTCTGTCTCTCCAGTGGGCACTCAGCAGATGATGGAGCTGCCACTGCTGAGAGTGCAGAGCTGCCATTGCAGAGCGTGGCACATGGGCTCTGCCAGGTTCCTTGTCCTGGCTGCTTCTGAGGTCCTTCCCTCTTGCTCTGTTAGAGCTTGCCATGCAGCCCCTCTCACAGTCCAYATGGCTGCTTCAGTCCTGAAGAGGATGGGATGGGATAGATGTTATCTGGGTGATGGTTCTGGCAGGACAGGCTGCCTCACCCTGGGAGTTTTTGGAGCTAACCACAGAAGAATATTATCTCAAACAGAGAGATTGGGAGTAKGGGGGAAGTGAATGAGGAGCCTTGTCTGGACAGGGAGTCTGTGGCTAGGAAGGTTTTGCCATATGACCATACTGTGAGTACTTCCAACTTGCAAAACMTGGATCCCTGCTTTTCCCTTCTCCCAATCCTGAAAGGGTGTTTCAGAGGTGAGAACAGCAGCGCAATCCCTCTTATCTCTGATTCTGGGCCCACAGCCTGCTTCCTCATTCCACAGGACTCTTGCTGATCTGCACTTTACACTATTACTTATAGTTGGAAGRGAGTTTTTGTAAAACAGTCAGATGAGGGGGAGGAAACCTGGTTATTTAAATGCCATTTAAAAATCTCCCYACTCCTACCTTTCACCCCCAAATTCTTTTCTGAGATGTTTGGAAACGACCCCTCTGAATACACCCACAGGAATCTAAAAGGGAATCCAAAGAATTTTTCCTGTTTCCTGTGTTCCCAAGCTGGGACTTCGATAGGTGCACAGAAACCAGCAGTCTGTTCTGGCAGCATCAGCAGACCCAAAGGCAGGAATGAAGCTGCACATCCCGCAGYAGGGCTTATTCCAGCTCCTCTGCTTTCTCAATGTTTGCCTCCAAAGTGATACATTTTTAACATGCCTTCAGTTCAAGACTTCGGTCCAAACTGTGATTACATTTTCATACTCTTTTGAGGGCTAAAAATGAACATACCAATGATTTTCTCCTTTGTCACACGACTCCAGCAGCAAGGCTTAACACAGCAGTCTGCAGGAGGTGGCCATGCTATGGCCAGAGCCATTATTCTCTTAATGTCCCAGCCAAAAAAAAGTCTGTAGGTGAGGAGAGGGTTAAACGATTTCTAGGCCACCATCAACTGGTGGACAGTCTGRGTCAAAAGTTGGGGGGCTTATCAATTTGCACAACTGATGCATCTCAAGGCTTTTGGGTACRGTGACAATGGAAAGTCCCTTCTATAACTTCACATTGCCTCTGTACTTTCCCACTGTGTTTCAAGTACTGAATAGTTCCCCCAGGCGACACTGATTGATCTTTTGTKTTGTTAATTTATTTGATTGCCTTCCTCTTCATCCATTTAGTCTGCTGCCTTCCTATTCCAAGGAAAGATGTGTTCAGCTGCTAATGCCTGGTTCCCATTTGAATAGGCTTCAGCCTCCTTCTTCCTTTTTGGGGCAGTTTTARGAAGTGATAAAATTTGTCAGGGTTGCATTTTTTTGGATGCGTGTAGGAGGRGGTCTCATATATCAGTAAAAACATTAAAGTCCTGACTAGGTGCCCCCTATCATGTATCTTTCCATTCTTCMTCTAGTCATGCTTTTAGAAAGTGAAAGGTTTCAAAGGATGGGGGGGTCGAGAGAGGAAATGCAGGCTTTTCCTTCTTAACAAAACAAGGATGAAACCACTCTGTGGACCAAATGAGCTGGGTCACTGATTTATTTTTTCCCCCTCTTCTGGTTTTTAGTGGATCTACTTGACACAAGCACTGCACAGGGTGAACTGGGCTGGCTTCCAGACCCTCCAGAAGTAGGGGTGAGTATGCACATTTAGGGAAGGGGAGCCACTGGGATGGCTAAATGATAGAAAAGAATAATCCACGTTGAAATCGCACCCTACCTCTGGAAATCGAGCTTCTGAGGCTCCACCCGCTCCTGGACGTTTTATGCTTTATAAGTCTCTCTCCCTTCACCTCTGCAGCCTCACCCCTAGCCAGTTTTTTAGGGACTGATGCCTCATTGGTTCCAGTAGCTCTTCTGTTGCCTATTTACATCCAGTATGATTAATCAGATCCTTGAAATGTACTGTTTCCACGAAGTAATAAAGCAATGAAGAAAAAGGAAAAAAAAAAACCAAAACAAATCATCACCCAGTTTCTCATTCTGTCAAGTTACACATAAATCTCATGGTTTGKTTTTTTTTTTCCAGGCAAATAGGCAGAGCAAAAGTATTTCTGCCTGAGTGTCTCTCAAGAAATCAGAAACACATTACATTACAATGCAGCTGCTGACTAAAGAAATAACTGTTAACTCATAGGCCAGCAATCTGCCCTTGTGGGTGGGCTGCAAGATTCTAGGACTTTTACACCAAGCTGTGGTGTTTGGTCCACACAGCTGACAATGAGAGGGAAATTTCCCTTTATTTTGTGACTGTAAAATTGAGTTGTTGGAAGTACTTCAAAATGTACTCCTGAAACCCCTGCAAAACAGGACCCTGAAAGACAGCTGAACTCTCAGCTATTTTTGTACAAGTGCAGATATTTTGAATGAAGTACAGTTAAGCTGTCCCTCTGGTGTCACAACCTACATTAGTGAAGGTGGTTTCCTTTGTAGCAGCAGTGCTGTGGGAGTGGTGGAAGGAAGGCACAAAGAAAAGGGAATTTAGGGACTGCACTGCTGTAATTAGAAGGACATATGTTAATACATAGTTTCAGTTCCTCATCCATACTCAGGTCTTTGTAGCAAGTCCCAAACTCTCCTGTGGAGAGTCTTCCCCTTTCCTGCTTCTAAAGCAGACCTGGGTTCAGCCTATTCCAAACTCATTTTCATAGCTTTCCTCTGTAGTGCACTGTGGCTGGTTTAAATCCACCCCAGCCGCCTTGTCCTCCCGGGAGCCTTGTTGGGTGAAGTAGAGCCAGACAGTGAGRTTCTCCTGTACTGGCAAAACTGCATTTCATTAGTAAAGCTGTTTTGGTTATTATTATTAGTATTATTACACCGTACTCAAAACAGGTGCCCTAGTGAGATATAAATGTAGATCATGTTTTGCCCATTGTTCCCTTTGTTCTTTCATCAATTGTCTGTGTGGTAATTTCTAGCCCAATTCTAGGCTCCAGGCATGCTCAGGATGAAGTTTTCCTCTTSAAAAGCTTGGAAAAACCCACTGAAAAGTGCATGCTAAAAAAAATACCTGATAGAAAGAAAACACAGCCTTTATCACAGRACATCTGAGTTTTGCACAGTAGGTTCACAGCAGTGTGAGGACTTGGCAGATCCTTCTGCTTGTGCTATGTTTGCTTTTTAAAATATGTGCATTCAAAATATAATTGGAACTGGGAATTTTTGAAAATGCTGGAGAACATGACCTAAGAGAAATAAAAACTAACAGGATACGGATGACTGATAAAACAACAGAGGGTGAAAAATAGATTCATTGACTTCTCAAGAGCAATTCTTTTTAGGAGATTTGTCTAATTACATCATTTCCCAATAACTGTTTGGTGGAAGTCTTAACGAATTGCCACAAGCAAAAAGGAAACTATGGCTGATTCATTTATAATCAGAACTTTGAACAGGTGTTTCTGAAACTATTCCTTCAAAATAAAGTATTAAATATGTTCAAAAAAGAACAGAAATTAATTCAGAACATTTTTGACAAAAAAGAGCCAAGATTAGAACTGACTAATCTGACTAGGTTGATCAGTAACAGGCTGGAAACATCAGAGCTGAATTGCACACACAGTTGAAGGGTGTATTTCATGTTAACACTGCTACTTGTACCTAACCTCAGATGCCAGAGATCTCCTATCAGTGAGCTGGATTTGTGTCAATATACTTATCGCACAGAGGAGGAATTTGCTGTGGGGAATTTTCATGCTTTATATGGACAAGGCCCCCGAGGCATAGCCCAGAAGAGGCTGGCCAAGTCTCTGGAGGCAGAACTATACCTCTGTTTCTCCTCAGGTCTAGCCAATGACAGAGGATGAAGTGGCTTGCCAGGTGTGGCTCTTCCATGGTCAGACTGTGGCTGTATCCAGTGCAGACAATGCTCCTGTTAACATGGGCTCAGCCTGGGAACACCATTCAGTTTTGGGGAGCACTTKAGGAGTTCAGAACTTAGGTACTACATTAGCCAGCTTCTTGCCTARGCTAAAAGGTAGTCTTGGAGTGAAAGTCTCTTTACCTTAAGTAAAATGTCTGTAGAATTTTGTTGGCTAAAAGCTTTGTGCTAGCTTGCTTTGTAGTAGCTGTTTAGAAAGGGTTTCATTCATTTCAGGTGTCTATTGGAAACTAGGCTTTTAAAAAGGCAGACTGCAGTTCCTTACCACCCACCACCCCCCTCCTCCTTCATCTAATGTATATCTTGATAATTCTTTTCTGGCTTTGAAGCTTTGCCACAGCAACACCAGGTGGGCATAGAGAGGTGTATGACAGTACTAGTGGTAGATTTCCACCTCTTAGCATATATTACAGAGCCAATGATGGCCACTTTGAAGGTGTCAGGAGTACAGAACTTTCTTGCTCTCAGATTTCTTTAAGACTCCTCATGCTGCACAGACWGCCTAGCTACCTGAACTGGTTTCAGAAATCACTGAAACTGTTCAAAAAGGACCTCTCAAATCCTATCATGAACAAATTCA